ATATCATATGTCACATCAATTAAATGAATGAAGTGTATTTTAATAAATAAAATTAGAAAAACAGAAACTAATATTTTACATGATGTGGTATGTACACATCAGTTGCCACATTATGTGGTATAAAATTGTAGTATAAAAAATGTGGTAAGACTAGTATTATTCTTGTTGCAATCCTCAAATAAGACATTAGAAATAAAATCGGGAGGTTCCTCAAACCAATAAGAGCTGTAATTTATTTGTAAGAAATGAAACTTTAAAATTCCATAATTTCTAAATATATAAAAAAGAAAAAGAAATGTAACTTTGAAATCTTCTTCTTTTGAAAATTACAACATTAAATTATTGTCGCTCTCTGTGTAGTTGATGAGTGATGTCATCGTGCTTGATCACATAAAAAAAAAGTATACAACTTTGAGTATGGAGATGAGGTATCGCACTCCTTTTATTTTATTTTATTTTTATTTTTTACAAATGATACTCTTAACTACGGGGAGGGGGGTCGAGTTCGGGTACAAGGGGATTGGCACACTACTTTGGCCAATTAGCCTATAGGGAGATTGGCACACTACCTTGTCCAAGTGGTCTAACTCACATATATTGTGATATATATACATAAATATATATTATTAATACTAGCCTCTCTGTACGCGCTTCCGCTCTTGCGAGAGGCTTTTAAAAAATAATTTATTTATTTATTTATTTTAGAATTAAAAAAGATAATGAGTAGTTATGTTCCATAAAAATATGATCTATTATCTGATTTTTCTTTTAATTTTAAATTTTTTAATATGAAAAAGTGTGAATTTACTATATTTTCCTCATTTAATTAATAAATTCAATTCTTAATGTTTGCATTTTGAATCATTTCAATTCTTAATGTTTGTATTTTCTGGCATTTTGAATATTTCACAATTCTCTGTCTTTTGCTTTATATCTTGTCTAAATGGGTGCCAGGCGGGTCCCTTTTTTTGTAATAAACAGTATGGCCGCGCCACTATACTTGTATTTTTCAATAATAAAAACCTGTTACATTACAAACACTTGACAACACTGACAAAACTGAAATTAAACTTTAAATTTTGAAAGCTGAAATTAAACTGTAACATTAATAATTAGAAAACTGAAATTAAACTGTAAATACGGAAATTATCAAAAGAGAAAAGAACATTTAGAAAAGAACTAACTGATATATTCAATAATGAAAAAAAAAGAAAGAAGGGGATTCTCCTATTTATATTCAATAACTGTTAAAATAAATCTCAACACAAAACGATGAGGTACGGAACTTTTTATCCAAGTTTAGAAAAAGGACTTGAGCTTTCTCGAGGAAACCAGTTGGAGGGAGGTTTGAGCGCCCTTTTACTCAGAGATGCTGAAGATGATGATACGGACTACAACTGCTGCTACTTCTTCTTCTTCTTATTGCTGGAGCAGCAGAGGTATGAATTGTCTTCACTCTAACTCCACTTTTCTCGTTTTCGTCAACAATTACTTTGCTTTCTTTCACTCTCAACCTTCGAAACCGATCAAATCTACAAGAACCCAACTAGAGCAGCCAAAAAGAGACTTACCCAAAATCACAAATGTTGAGGATGCCTTCAATGTGTTCGATAGAATGCTTCAAATGCGCCCTCTGCCTTCTGTTGTCCGTTTCAATAAAATCTTGGGTCAAGTTGCAAAATTGAAACATTACTCGGCCGTCATCTCATTGTATAACCAAATGGGTGTGTCGAGAGTTGGACATTCTCTTAATGCAACTAGCTTGGCATGCATGGGATTTGATACTCCACGTAGCACAACCAACTTGCATGCAAGAAAAGCACCTGTATAATTTCGGACCACCAAACCAACCCCACCAAAGCTGGATTCAACATGAAACATTCCACTCACATTTATTTTAATAGCTCCAGTCGGTGGCCGTAGCCATTTGGCTTTGGCACGTGAAATATGGTTCTTGGGAGGGGGGTGTAACTCCTGAAACTCCTGCAGACAGTACATTGCACCACTCACAACTTCTGTGGAACTCCGATGTCGTCCTGTCTAGCTCATTTGATTCCTCTCAAACCGCAGCATCCACATGCACACCATGACTTTCTCTAATTCATGAGTGGGGTGATCCGCAGCAAATCCATGGAACCACATCTTGAACTCCTCTGTGGAATCAGTATTAAAGTGAGCCCAGGCCGGAAATAGAGACCAAGAATCAATAGCCATGGGGCATTGGAGAAGCACATGGACCACCGTTTCATCAGCTCCACAAAACACGCATCCTCCCAATTCAGAGATGCCACGGTGACCCAAATTATCCTTGGTAGGTAAAATATTCAAGAGAGCGCGCCAAATGAAAATACGGACCTTTGGAGGCACCCGGACTTTCCAGATCTTCTTCCAGACATTGTCAAAAGCTACAATTGGTCCCCCATTCGTGGTAGTGTCGTCCTCGTCTTGCTGGAGCAGAACCCGACGAGCAACTTCATGCCCGCTCCGCACTGTGTACTGACCACCTCTCTCAAAATGCCAAATCAAAGCGTCTGGTGGGTCTCTAAAGCTTAACGGAATGTTTCGAATGCACCTCACTTCCTCGGCCGAGAACCAAGCTTGCAAAAGGTCCTCCCTCCACTGCATATTGATGGGATCAATGAGAAAACTCACTTTTGCCTCCTCAAACCCCTGTGCTTGTGGGGAGGAAATTTGGAAAGATTCAGAGCTAGGAAGCCATCGGTCTCCCCATATACGCACACTATTGCCATTCCCGATTCGCCAACGAGTTCCCTGTTCAATGATCACACGTGCTTTGCATAAGCTTTGCCAAATGTAGGAGGATGAATGTCCAAGTTGTGCCTCTAATATAGAGCAGTTCTTGAAGTAACGGGCTTTCATAACGCGAGCCACTAGAGAGGTTGGGGTCTGAATCAAGCGCCATAATTGTTTGGCCAAGAGCGCCATATTAAAGGCATATAAGTTACGAAAACCAAGCCCACCCTCCTGTTTGGGCAAGCATAACTTATTCCAGCGGAGCCAATGTATTTTACGGTGCCCATCTTGCTCACCCCACCAGTAACGTGCCATCACTTGTTGAATTTCATCGCAAAGACCTTTCGGGATGAGGAAGCAATTCATCATATAAATAGGCACAGCTTGTGCCACCACTTTAAGGAGAATTTCTTTCCCAGCAAAGCTTAACAGTTTGGCCTTCCAACCTTGTACTTTCTTCCAAATGCGTTCCTTGAGAGAATTAAAACAATGCCTTCTGGATCTACCCACATGAGTGGGCAACCCCAAGTAAACATCATGCTGGTCAAGGGGAAGTGAAAGTTAATTAATTCTCTATGTGATAATTTTATAATTAGGGATAATTGTCCACTATTACATTTTGAAAAATAAAAGGGAAATTTTATTGCGTCCTCCCAATCTATTAGTGAAGGAAAACAAGAAACTCCCGTATTCAACTAGAGGCTACCAAATATACTTACGACGAGTACCTAAATCATATATGCTTAGGGCATGTCCAACAGTAGGTTAAACTCATAAATTTAGCTCCTTCATACTCAAAAGCCATCTTTAGTAAATGGGCTAAACCTGTCATGTCACTGAGTCAAACCTAGTCAATAGGCCAAAAAGGCTAACTGTTGGGTAAAACTTGGCCAATTCATGGGTGGGCTATTTCAGGGATGCTGCGTTTGAATTAAGTAATGATATTTTATGGTATTTTGAATGTTTCATCATTCTCTTCCTTTTGCTTTATATATAGATACAAATCACATTTGATGTTGACAAAATCCTTGAGTTTTTTTCTTCGATATTTCTCTTGCTAGCTACTGTTAATATTAGATAAAATAATATTTCTCTAACATTTCTTCTCATCCAACATTATTTCTCATTTCATTCATTGCACAAAGAGTTATACTTCTACTCTTAATTACTTGAAGTACAAACCCCTTGCACGTAATGATTTATTTCTTCATTGTTCATTTACAATGTAAGTAGATTTTATGTAATTGAAGAGATTTGAAAGTTTTTTTTTTTGAAAAGGTTGATTTCATTCCATTAGAAGGGAGGAATAATAGGCATGTAGAGTGTGGCCTCGTTAAAACCTTCCCGGAGAAAACCACAAGGGAAAAATCCCGGGGTAGGAAAGAGTACCACATATGCCAATAACGTACAGAACAAGGAAAATTACATAACATCAGAAAACAAAACATCCTGTAAGAAAACTGGGGGATCAGTAACCCATTCTGCTGCTTCCTGGGAATGCAGAGCATAGTGAGCCAGGCGAGTTGCAACCCCATTAGCCTTCCTCTCTGTAAACCTCAAATAGACACACTCTTGTATGGCCAAAAGTGTTTTACAATCCTCAATTAGGCAACCAAGGTGGGACAAATCAGCTTGGCCCTGTTGTACGGAGTGTAGAGCGCCTTGAGAATCCCCTTCTATATAACAATCCACGTTAGATGAAAATTTACTTGTGCAAGCGGCCTATAATTCAAATGGTTAAGAGCATTTATTCGTGCAGATAAGGTTCTAGGTTCGATTTTCCCCTTCTTCACTATCGCTTATTAAAAGATGAAAATAACTTGTACTGTATATCAATGATCCAACCCATAATTAAACCAAATATATTTATGTGGAAAAGATGCAAGATACTTCTACACATATATTGTCTAAATTCCATACCAACCACACACACTAAAATTATTTGTCTTTAATGAAAGTAAAACGCACCACACATATATAATAAAGCAACCTTATTACAAAACACATCCCCGATGGATATATATAGTCATAATTATATATCAAACTCCAGCATATAATTCAAGTGCATCTTCACCAATATTGGACGTGAAGTATGTGAAGTATTCAGCAAAGTTGAATGGCTTGTATAGCAAAGGGTGCTCTTTGTCTATAAATTCCTGAGGTACTTCAATTACCACCTCCTCTTTAGGCAAAGCAAATAGGGCATACGAGTACCTCTCTTTGTCCCCACTCATCATAACCCTATGTGTCACTGCATGAAGCCTCCCATTGCTCCAGGCTTTAAGTGCATCCCCAACAAACACCATAACAGCTTCTTTCGGGACCATCACCTCCACCCATTTGCCTTGTTTGGTCAGAATCTCTAGGCCTTGCACATCGTTTTGGCACAGAATGGTTAGGGTGTTTTTGTCAGTGTGAGGCACAAGACCAAGGGCATTGTTAATGTTGCTTGGAGGAGGAGCTTTGTACTTCATGAAACGAAAAGCACTGGTGGTGTTTTGGGCCTGGGATTCATAGTGGTCTCCCAAGCCAAAGCTCTCCAAAATCATCCTAAGGATGATGAGATTCAATTCCATCATCTTTGAAGTCATGGATTTCATAGCCTCACTACCATGACAAAACAAAACAAAACAAAACATATACAGTCATGTACCAGAAAAATGTAATAGCACAAGTTAACCATTATCACTAGCATATATAACAATTCAATAATCTTGGATTTTCAATTCCACGTAAGTCGCGGGGTTGTCAAGAGGAAAAAACTAGGATAGGGACTTTCCTGCCACGTTGCAGGTTGATTTGTTTCGTTCAAACATATCATATGTTATAAATTTTTAATTATAATTCAAATTTTATAACACATGTTATGTTTTAACTAAAAGGTACCTATCACGTGAGAGATATTCCCCATTCAAAATTTTATCCTCATGAAGCTCATGAATATATGCACCTACCCGTTATCATTATATATGTACTCTTGTGATGGGATATATGGAGTTGAAGTTATTGTTGACTATTGTACATAATCCAAGAAAGTGCAATTGAGTTTTAAATGAGGCAGTTACATCTGCATAAGAAACTGATTATCTTGCCCTGTGATGGAGTTCTACAAGGACATGTGCGCAGGCATGATATAGCCAGAACTATATAACAATCATATAAAGCTGGCACTCCTTTAATTCAATCTGTTTCAAGGGATAAGCCTTATTAAATGAGGCATTGGCAGGTAGCGAGGGTGTTGGGTAGCAGCCATTGTCATGTCAAAAATATGGAGTTTTTATGTCATCAAAATGCCGTTGCTTGGTTTGAAAGTGTCCAATTTAAGGAAAGATTCTCAATCATCTAGTGACCTAAACCAAAATTCTTTCCTAATCTGATCTAAACAGATAGTGATTAATCTTCTGTTTAGCTGCAAAACTATGTATTTATAATTAACTCCCCACCCTCTTCGAATCCAACTTTCGAAATCAATAAGTTGAAAGGTAATATATGACATGAGAAAAATGTTTGAGGGGTGATAGCAAAAGAGCAATTTTATTCTTAGCAACTCTTGGTTTGTCTTAGACTCCTACAGTGGGATATCTCAGACTGAGAACAACAGTTCTTGCTTTTTTTTATGAAAAATAAAAATAAAAACCAAAATTAAATTTGACCTTGTGGTTTTTTTTTTTTTTTTTTTTTTTTTTAAACCAAAGGAAAGTTCTGCCTAAAAACAGTTTAAATTCCATCAGTTCTGCCTAAAAACAGTTTAAATTCCATCAGTTCTGCCTAAAAACAGTTTAAATTCCATCAGTTCTGCCTAAAAACAGTTTAAATTCCATCAGTTCTGCCTAAAAACAGTTTAAATTCCATCAGTTCTGCCTAAAAACAGTTTAAATTCCATCAGTTCTGCCTAAAAACAGTTTAAATTCCATCAGTTCTGCCTAAAAACAGTTTAAATTCCATCAGTTCTGCCTAAAAACAGTTTAAATTCCATCAGTTCTGCCTAAAAACAGTTTAAATTCCATCAGTTCTGCCTAAAAACAGTTTAAATTCCATCAGTTCTGCCTAAAAACAGTTTAAATTCCATCAGTTCTGCCTAAAAACAGTTTAAATTCCATCAGTTCTGCCTAAAAACAGTTTAAATTCCATCAGTTCTGCCTAAAAACAGTTTAAATTCCATCAGTTCTGCCTAAAAACAGTTTAAATTCCATCAGTTCTGCCTAAAAACAGTTTAAATTCCATCAGTTCTGCCTAAAAACAGTTTAAATTCCATCAGTTCTGCCTAAAAACAGTTTAAATTCCATCAGTTCTGCCTAAAAACAGTTTAAATTCCATCAGTTCTGCCTAAAAACAGTTTAAATTCCATCAGTTCTGCCTAAAAACAGTTTAAATTCCATCAGTTCTGCCTAAAAACAGTTTAAATTCCATCAGTTCTGCCTAAAAACAGTTTAAATTCCATCAGTTCTGCCTAAAAACAGTTTAAATTCCATCAGTTCTGCCTAAAAACAGTTTAAATTCCATCAGTTCTGCCTAAAAACAGTTTAAATTCCATCAGTTCTGCCTAAAAACAGTTTAAATTCCATCAGTTCTGCCTAAAAACAGTTTAAATTCCATCAGTTCTGCCTAAAAACAGTTTAAATTCCATCAGTTCTGCCTAAAAACAGTTTAAATTCCATCAGTTCTGCCTAAAAACAGTTTAAATTCCATCAGTTCTGCCTAAAAACAGTTTAAATTCCATCAGTTCTGCCTAAAAACAGTTTAAATTCCATCAGTTCTGCCTAAAAACAGTTTAAATTCCATCAGTTCTGCCTAAAAACAGTTTAAATTCCATCAGTTCTGCCTAAAAACAGTTTAAATTCCATCAGTTCTGCCTAAAAACAGTTTAAATTCCATCAGTTCTGCCTAAAAACAGTTTAAATTCCATCAGTTCTGCCTAAAAACAGTTTAAATTCCATCAGTTCTGCCTAAAAACAGTTTAAATTCCATCAGTTCTGCCTAAAAACAGTTTAAATTCCATCAGTTCTGCCTAAAAACAGTTTAAATTCCATCAGTTCTGCCTAAAAACAGTTTAAATTCCATCAGTTCTGCCTAAAAACAGTTTAAATTCCATCAGTTCTGCCTAAAAACAGTTTAAATTCCATCAGTTCTGCCTAAAAACAGTTTAAATTCCATCAGTTCTGCCTAAAAACAGTTTAAATTCCATCAGTTCTGCCTAAAAACAGTTTAAATTCCATCAGTTCTGCCTAAAAACAGTTTAAATTCCATCAGTTCTGCCTAAAAACAGTTTAAATTCCATCAGTTCTGCCTAAAAACAGTTTAAATTCCATCAGTTCTGCCTAAAAACAGTTTAAATTCCATCAGTTCTGCCTAAAAACAGTTTAAATTCCATCAGTTCTGCCTAAAAACAGTTTAAATTCCATCAGTTCTGCCTAAAAACAGTTTAAATTCCATCAGTTCTGCCTAAAAACAGTTTAAATTCCATCAGTTCTGCCTAAAAACAGTTTAAATTCCATCAGTTCTGCCTAAAAACAGTTTAAATTCCATCAGTTCTGCCTAAAAACAGTTTAAATTCCATCAGTTCTGCCTAAAAACAGTTTAAATTCCATCAGTTCTGCCTAAAAACAGTTTAAATTCCATCAGTTCTGCCTAAAAACAGTTTAAATTCCATCAGTTCTGCCTAAAAACAGTTTAAATTCCATCAGTTCTGCCTAAAAACAGTTTAAATTCCATCAGTTCTGCCTAAAAACAGTTTAAATTCCATCAGTTCTGCCTAAAAACAGTTTAAATTCCATCAGTTCTGCCTAAAAACAGTTTAAATTCCATCAGTTCTGCCTAAAAACAGTTTAAATTCCATCAGTTCTGCCTAAAAACAGTTTAAATTCCATCAGTTCTGCCTAAAAACAGTTTAAATTCCATCAGTTCTGCCTAAAAACAGTTTAAATTCCATCAGTTCTGCCTAAAAACAGTTTAAATTCCATCAGTTCTGCCTAAAAACAGTTTAAATTCCATCAGTTCTGCCTAAAAACAGTTTAAATTCCATCAGTTCTGCCTAAAAACAGTTTAAATTCCATCAGTTCTGCCTAAAAACAGTTTAAATTCCATCAGTTCTGCCTAAAAACAGTTTAAATTCCATCAGTTCTGCCTAAAAACAGTTTAAATTCCATCAGTTCTGCCTAAAAACAGTTTAAATTCCATCAGTTCTGCCTAAAAACAGTTTAAATTCCATCAGTTCTGCCTAAAAACAGTTTAAATTCCATCAGTTCTGCCTAAAAACAGTTTAAATTCCATCAGTTCTGCCTAAAAACAGTTTAAATTCCATCAGTTCTGCCTAAAAACAGTTTAAATTCCATCAGTTCTGCCTAAAAACAGTTTAAATTCCATCAGTTCTGCCTAAAAACAGTTTAAATTCCATCAGTTCTGCCTAAAAACAGTTTAAATTCCATCAGTTCTGCCTAAAAACAGTTTAAATTCCATCAGTTCTGCCTAAAAACAGTTTAAATTCCATCAGTTCTGCCTAAAAACAGTTTAAATTCCATCAGTTCTGCCTAAAAACAGTTTAAATTCCATCAGTTCTGCCTAAAAACAGTTTAAATTCCATCAGTTCTGCCTAAAAACAGTTTAAATCCCATCAGTTCTGCCTGAAACAGTTTAAATTCCATCAACCATTCTGGCCAGAACAACCTCTTTATACTGAGATAAATTGTTAAAGTCCTCACCAGTCTGAGGCGAGAAAAGAACTTACTTGGGAGATATTCCTCACCCAAATTCACAATCGTTTGTTTGCAGAAATCAGTAACTTGGGGCGCAAGTTATCTATTCCAAACTAAGTCTGCTAGAATTTTTATTGCTAGCAGTGGCACGCTCGCACACCAAAGAAAGCTGACTTGTCGACCAGTTTATGGTTCTCAAGGCAGTGGGGAACTTTGCCCTTCCATCACAGGAGTAAACGCAAAACGGGCAAACAATAGCATGATTTGGCATTGCCATAGCCACTGCTTTGATTAACACCTCCTTCCCGGCAGTGAATAAAAATTGCTCAGCCCATCCATGAAGCGGAGCACTAATGTTCCAGCGTACTGAGTCAAAAATCTGTTTTTTTGAGGCACCAAAATCTGCTTCAAGGCCTAGATATTTACCAAATCCGTCCTTCCCTTGGATATGCAACAACTTAGACATATTCCTATGTGTTAGAGACCCTTCATATTCTTGACAGTTACAGCAAGTTAAGGAGATTTTTGTTCAAATTGTTAATACCCATAATTGCCTTGTTGTCTGTTACAATTCGGCTATAACTCCCAGACCATTGCAGCTTGTATAAAATCCATGTAATAGTGTGCATTTAGATATGAAAATAATCTGTTTCTACATGGTATTTTCTACACTACGCAATCTTCTGGGACATCTATGATAAAAAAACAGGGAACTTTTTTCAAAATTAATGCTTTGGCCTGAGGCAGCCGCATAATCCTCCAATACTGTACAGACATCTCGCCTTCCGCTCCGTCGCTCGACAAAACAATACAGAATCATCAACAAAAAATAAGTGAGAGATTGAAACCCCACTATCCCGAAATTGGAAGCCATGCACCAGACCCCTTTCCTCCTGCCACCGTATCAAAGTCGTGAGCCCCTCAGCACAAATAAGAAACAAGAATGGTGGCAATGGATCCCCTTGCCTCAGTCCCCGACATGGCATAATT